GTTCACACTTCCATGCCCGTCTTACCAGGGCTCGCTTGATGTACTCTTCCTGTGCAGCCTTCAGGTTCTCCTTCTTCCCGCCCCAGGCCTTCAGGGCAGAGGCCTGCAGGGCCCTGCCATAGGAGAAAGTCAAGGCCCATGGCTTCAGCAGGGGGCACTTGTTGATAGCATTAAGGTTGATGGATGCCTCTTCCTCACTCTGTCCTCCAGACAAGAAAGTGATCCCTGCAGAACAAGGCCAGAAGAAAAAAAAAGGGGGGGAGGGGCTTTCATCAGAGACGCAGGGCATGGAGTTGTGAGAAGCTACCCTGTGATGGCACATCCACTTCACTAAGCCCGATGAGGGAGTGGGCCTCACCAGGGACAGCAGGGGGCACTGTGCGCCGAAGAGCTGTGACAGTTGCCATGGCAATCTCTTCATTGGAAAATTTCTGGGTGCAAGCATGGCCTGGGGTGACCATGTTGGGCTTCAGCAACGTGCCTTCCAGATAGATATGGTGGTCGCTCAGAGCCTTGTAGACAGCTGCCAGGACCTGGAAGAGGGCAGGGTGAGGGAAGATACCTGAGCGGGGCCCAGCCCACCACAGTACCAGAGCCAGGTAGACAGGCACCTACCTTCTCAGTTACATACTGACAGCGCTTCAAGTCATGGTCCCCATCAGGGAGGATTTCAGGCTCCACAATGGGTACAATGCCATTCTGTGGGAGGGACAAGGTAGTGTGAGGCCTCCTGACTGGGAACCCAACCTACAGCTCTCCGCCACCACTAGCCAAGAGCTTATCTTGATGATGATAGGGATCAGGGCTTCAAAGGCCTCGGCAGATTATTGGTGGGTATCCAGGACAGTTGCTCTGGGGGAGGTAGACATCCTGGCAGATGGAGGTGACCTACTGTGGCCCCGGTAGTCCATTCCCACCTGCTGGCAGATGCTGGCATAACGGGCCAGAACATTGGCATTTTCCATGATGGCCAGGGCTGAGGGGGTATGTTCCCCAATCTTGAGCACGCAGCGCCACTTGGCAAAGTCAGCTCCATCCTTCTTATACTGGGCACAGCGTTCAGACAGCCCATCCAGCCCTGAGGAGGAGGGACAAAGTGAAGAGGTCAGGTATGTGACCCAACTCTGACAAGCTAGACGGGAAGGAGGCGAACCGCCCTCACCTTGGGTCGTGGTCTCGCCATTGGTTCCTGCCAGGGGCACAACACCCTTGTCTACCTGCCGGGGAGTAGAAGAGCAATCAGCTTTCCCGCCCTTTCCCCTCTACCCAGCCCCAATAACCCCTCATGCAGCCTTTCGTGGCCTGCAAATACTTTCTTTAAAAATGTATTTATTTACTATGTCTACAATATCTGCATGTGTGCCTTCACATCAGAAGGATGTACCAGATCTCATTACAGACAGCTGGGAGCCACCATGTGGTTGCTGGGAACTGAACTCAGGACCTCTGGAAGAACAGCCAATGCTCTTAACCTCTGAGCCATCTCTCCAGCCCCCTGCAAATACTTTTTACTGTGTATTGGCACTGAGTCCCGTGAGGAAAAAAACACACGTATCATTTGAGAGGAAAGTTAACTGGGTTGGAGAACCTAACCTGGCCCTCCCTCTTACTGTGGAAACCATTTCACTTTTTAGCTGTAAATGAGGAATCACCTTATAATGACAGGGGGCCACTGAGGTCAGTGGTAGGGCACTTGCCTAGCACGCACAAGGACCTGGAGGTCTGAGGCAAGCTATGTATACCTAAGTCTCTAGACCTGCTAGCCCAGTATTCACCCTATTAATCCCTTCTCCAGATCCATCTATAATCTTACTCTCCGGGGCCAACACCCTTACCTTAATGCCCACAACACCGCCCTTGGACTTGATGACTTGGGGGAAGGGACGTCCATCATCCGCCTTCTGGTACAGTGTCTCATGGAAGAGGATCACCCCCCCAATGCAGGGATTCACACGGTCATCAGCAGTCAGCAGCAGCTGGCGGTAGAAGCGCCTGTTCTCCTCCGTGTTCTCGGTGCCAATGGACTGCAACCGCTTGGCAATGCTTCCTGAAGGGAGGGTCACATGGGAGGGATAAGGGGATCAGCCTGCCACTTCCAACCTTGGGTCTCCCTCCCCCTTTCTCCTGCCTGTACCGCACCAGTGGACTCATCTGCAGCTAGGATGCCCTTGCCCGGAGCCACAATTCGTTGAGCGATGTCAGACAGCTCCTTCTTCTGCTCCGGGGTCAGTGCTGGGTATGGGTAGGGCATGGTGACCGAGGCAGCACGTTCCTGGGTTAAGGAGACAGATGGGGAAAAGTGTTTAGTTGCACCATCCTGTGGTCTCCCCAGGTAACAAGGTTCCTTCCCAGGAGGCCAGGGCAATAGCCCCCACCTTCCCTGCCCCACTCCCTGAGGGTCCTGGGATACTTCCTGTCCCAGAGCTCTCCCCTATACTAGACCTGCCTCTTCCTGTACCTTTCCTAACTCTGTCTGGTGCTGGGCGTTGCCCAGCTGAGAGTAGGGTTGCTCACTGGAAATTGGGGGAAAGGAAAAAGCCATAGCCAGGGATAGGCGGGTCATGTTGAAGCTGGACCCATCTGGCCTGCGCGTTGCCATGGGTCACCTTGCCTAGAAACAAAATTGAACCGGGAATATTTTAGAATTTAAGTATTACAAGTAGGGCAGAGAGCCCAATACCCTCATCGGAAAGAGCCCAAGAAAAGAAATGATCTGTGCTGGAAGCCACACAGCAACCCAAAAACAAGAGCTGAGACAGAACCCAGATTTCCTGACTGAGGTGCAATCCACCCAGGGGCGGCCCAGTCTTCAAGGACACCACAAGGTCAGGCTTCTCTATACTGGATTGGGGGGAAAAGAGTCGGAGGAAAAGGATAGTAAGAAAAATACAAGGCCATCAG